TGGATATCCAGCTCTAGATACTTTCTTGTGAACTGCATTTTTTATCAGTCACCACAGACCTCTAGTCTAATGCAATCTTTTTTTGCAAAGTCATTTGGAAAGTACAGTAAAACCCAGTCGTTAAAATTTTACAAGGGCACAATGACACTAAGCAGTTTCCGTATCATTATTTTTGCGATTGCTGCATTTCCATTCTATCTTAAGTAATCTTATCTGCCTTGGACACCAACAGGTGAATCTCATCTCAAAGGAAGATTCATTGATACGGAATGTTTAGTGGTTCTAGTGCGTCACATCGTAGACATCTGTCCTTTTCCTTGCTCTTGACTCCTTCACCAAAGATTTCTCCCTGTTGTATCCTTCTCACCGTATCTTATTCTAGCTCTTCTTTTCTTAACGCTGCCAGATATGTGTCCAGGCCTGGTGGGCTGTCTCCAGACAGGTTATAAATAACCAGTGGAGCTTTTTCCTCCATGTCCTTAGAGCTCTACTCTCTTCTCACACTTGAGACACCATGGGAAAAGAATCTTTCCCTTACATACATGGCACTGGTAATAACAGGCACGGGTATACTTAAAGTCCCTCGGAGCACATGCACTTGTTTGCACACTTTGCACAAACATACAGATGCAGTTATGCATGCACCCACAGAATGGACCTCGCTGTCTTATACAATGAGGTTGTGGTGTTAAAATAGCAAGGTTACAGGAACAAGGGCAGTGTTTATAATAAATTGTTAACTTGAATTACATAACCTGTTCTGTGGGAATGCAGACTGCATTTCTGCTGTCATGTAAGTATGGGAAACTTGCTGAAACACCAGAACAGGACAAAAGTCCAGGACAGTGAAAATAGCAAGAACAAGAAAACAAGGAGCAGGCTTGGAGAGAGTGAGTGAAATACAGCTAAGCAGTGGAAAAAAGGTTCAACAGTGAGGCATTACTTTTCTCCTCTTGACATGCAAGGCTCAGGGGGGTATGTTATGGATACATCAAGGAGATGGTGTTAGTTTATGTGACAGCAAAACAGTGTTAATGTGGACTATAGCCGGGAGTAGAGGAGAATGCAGAGGTTGGCAGGTCAGACTCTGCTGACACACTAGGATCAGAGATGGGATTGTTTCCATTGGAAAGAATTCCAACAATGGGCTAGAAGAGCTATCAGTGACTTCACTCACAGGACTCGAACAAGAGTTTTAATACATAGCAGACGCACGCACTCATGCACATTCAATGCTCCGGTGCCAACAGTGGTGTACCAGGCACTGTGTCGCACAACATATTGACTAGCTCATATAAACCTTTACAGGAGGGGTTGCTTATTCTCATTTGGCCATTACAAGTGAATGTTTTTGTGTACAGATGAACAGCATAGCTGTAAAATAAAATTGAATAGCTACAAATCTGCTACTGTTGGTCAACATGAGCCAAAAGTTACTCAGCACGTAAATAGCCAAAGTAAACACAGAATTATATAGAAAAGCTAAAGGTAGGTGTTAGCTGAAAATAAATGAAAGCTACAGTAGACACGAGAAGGCCACAAATGTCAGCTTGTAGCTAAACACACACAAACATGTAGCTAAAATGCTTAATAGAGACATAAAGCCTATTAAAATAAAAAGCCACATTAAAATTAACCCAAACTAGAACAAAAGATA